GCAATCACCTCACAGATAAAGAAGAGTCTTGAAGCAACAGAAATGTTGTTCTACAGAAAGAAGCTCAGAATACCTGACGATGTGAACAACAATGAAGTTTTAGAGAAAAATGACGAGAAAAACAAACTCAAAAAGAGACAATCATGTCTACACAAGCATGTATATGAACAAAAGCTGAGCATCATCTACCATGTATTCAATTGTGAAAGCAGAATAACATATCATATTTTTATTATTTCAAAGTTCCCAAGAAAATTATATTTCGGCATTAAATGACCCATAAAGGAGTTGATATGCCGTGAAACAATGTAATTATTTACGAGGAACGTGAAAAGAACTTAAAACAATTCTGGACGAAGTGATTTAGTTCCCTGAAAATTTTTATTTGAAGGAATCGCTGAGAAATCTAATTTCGCGAAAAAACTGTTTTAAGAAATATTTTATAAAGTTCAATCGACAGTAGTAGAAAGTTTTCTACTAATGAATGCCAAATGTTTCCTATGCGGTAATGGCTATTTTTACCATACACACGCATTTTACTATAGGGATGACTTGCAATGATTTTACTGCAGGAATTCATTGCAAATGATTTTACTATGGAAATGTATTGCAAATAATTTTACAATAAAAAAATCATTGGAGATGATTTTACAATTAAAACGCACTGGAAATGATTTTACTATGAAAATGCATTGGAAATGATTTTTACTATGAAAATGTATTGGAAATGATTTTTACTATGAAAATGCATTGGAAATGATTTTTACTATGAAAATGCATTGGCCAATGATTTTTACTATAAAAATGCATTGGAAATGATCTTTACTATAAAAATGCATTGGAAATGATTTTTACTATGAAAATGTATTGCAAATAATTTTACAATAATAGATCATTGGAGATGATTTTACAATTAAAACGCATTGGAAATGATTTTTCTATAAAAATGTATTGGAAATGATTTTTACTATGAAAATGCATTGGAAATCATTTTTAGTATGAAAATGCATTGGCCAATTATTTTTACTATAAAAATGCATTGGAAATGATTTTTTACTATGAAAATGTATTGCAAATAATTTTTACCATGAAAATGCATTGGAAATGATTTTTACCATGAAAATGTATTGTAAATGATTTTTAATATGAAAATGCATTGGAAATGATTTTTACTATGAAAATGCATTGGAAATCATTTTTACTATGACATTCATTGGAAATGATTTTTAGTATAAAAATACACTGCAAATGATTTTTACTATGAAAATGCATTAGCCAATGATTTTTACTATGAAAATGCATTGGACATGATTTTTACTATGAAAATGCAATGTACATGATTTTTACTATGAAAATGTATTGGCCAATGATTTTTACTATGAAAATGCATTGGAAATTATTTTTACTATGAAAATGCCGTGCGAATGATTTACTATGAAAATGAATAGGAAATAGTTTGCTAAATCTACCGCTAGAAAAGTTGCTACACAATTCTTTCTCGCCATTTATACGTCTAACATTCGTCCATGCATCGAATATTGCTTTCACATCTGGTTGTGTGTATCTTGTATGTATTTAGAAATTCTTAATGAAATTCAAAAAAAAAAAAAAAAAACTCTGCATTATTATCAGTCCTGACCTGGCATCTCGGCATCAGTCACTTTCCCACTGACATAACGTAGCTTCCCTGTGCATTTTCTATAAATATTTTCATGATAATTGTTCTGATGTGCTTTCACCTTTGGTAGCTCGAGTTTACGAATTTAAGCGCGATACTAGATTGACAGGTTTTTGAATGCATCGAAGTGATTTTACGACAGGAATCAACTGGCAATGATTTTACTATAGGAATAAATAGCAAATGATTTTTATTATAAGAATCAACTGGCAATGATTTTACTATAGGAATAAATAGCAAATGATTTTTATTATAAGAATCAACTGGAAATGATTTTACTATAGGAATAAATAGCAAATGATTTTTATTATAAGAATCAACTGGCAATGATTTTACTATAGGAATAAATAGCAAATGATTTTTATTATAAGAATCAACTGGAAATGATTTTACTATAGGAATAAATAGCAAATGATTTTTATTATAAGAATCAACTGGAAATGATTTTACTATAGGAATAAATAGCAAATGATTTTTATTATAAGAATCAACTGGAAATGATTTTACTCTATGAATGCATTGGAAATTATTTTACAATAGGAATCCATTACAAAACACCTAACTCTAGTCCTACGTCTAGTTAAAGTCAAGTGATTTCAGCCAGTATTCGGCATAATCACTAGACATAACTCATATTTATGCTAGTCGCCAAATACAACACACCTGTCTATGTTTTGAATATCGTATCGGGGAGTAGGAGGAGGTACACTTCGGTGAAGACGGCTAGCATCCGGTGCAATCAATTTCGCTGGTTTATTTCCATCACCGGAATTCCTATTGTTTGGTGGATTCCGTTTGTTGTTTACCTGTTAGAAATTGATAGCTTTTGTAGACGAGATGTGATACAAGGCCGAGTTTAATGTGGGCAACCCGAGCGCATATATTCGTACCAAAGATCAAAATTTACCCAGCTTCCACTATCGGATACTTTTCTGGTCTATTCTTCTCAGCCGAGTCTCCGTCCATAGACGGAGCCCTAGGTCGTACTCGTGGCCCAGGTTAACCCTTGTGCTAGACAGTTTGTGTCTTTGTTGATCTGGGTGAGATTTCAATCGTACTATTTGTTCAACGTCAAGTAATCCTGCTAAAAAAAGGCGTAACCGTGCCAACAGAAAAACGACGCCGTTGAACAATTTAATTAAAAGTGAAATGTAAAATCGTACAACAGCTAAGAGGCTGTTTCTTCTGAATCACGCCTTTTCTACCCATGAGGCACTGAGAGACGTCTATTCATTAAATAATGCAGTAGTAGTAACGTCTTAGCAACGAACAACTTGGATTTTTTTCTAGTGCACAATGAAAGACGGGTCTGCCGGTTTTTTTCTGCAATCCTTCGACCGCCGGACACGTGCTCTGAAGATCTCTGGATAACTCTTTCGAACTCTACTAAAAAAAAACTCTCCCTATTTCTACGCGTGCATGCCTCGTTTATATAGACTTCAGTCCTGGAATAGACATGATTAATTAGCTTTATAAACAAAAAAAACTCCTGTGATCTGACTTAGATGAAGTGTGTTTCAATTTGGGCCAGGATTTCTAAGTTTCCAAAATTTACATTGAAATCAACGTGAATATGCTGGATAGGTTGCTAAGCGAGCAAACCCTAGAATTACCGAAAATCCTGTGGACTTTTGGCAAACTCATTAATGTCATACCAACTTCCTTGGGGTTACTGAGTCAGACGGAGGTCCCGCATTTTACTAAATCTTAGTTTAATTTGAGCTCTTCCGAGACTCTCCTTATAAGTATTTCATGGGTTTAAATTAATATTTTTAAACCGGACTTTTTACTATCGGACACCAATCCGGTTAAACACTTTCCCATTTTATTATCCTTCTAATACATTTCGTTCAGAATTATTAAGTCCCGCAATATCTCAAGTCACTGACCACTTTCAATGCACCAGTATGACTCAATCAGGATCACTGTCCTTTTAAAGAAGAATCGATTGGAAATTATTTTGCTATAGGAATCCATTTCAAAACTTTTTCTAGAAGAATCAAATGGAAATGATTTTAATATAGGAATCCATTGCAAATAATTTTACAATAGGAATGCATTGCAAATAATTTTCACCATAGGAATCAGATGGAAATGATTTTAATATAGGAATCCATTGCAAATAATTTTACAATAGGAATCCATTGCAAATAATTTTCATCATAGGAATCAAATGGAAATGATTTAATATAGGAATCCATTGCAAATAATTTTACAATAGGAATGCATTGCTAATAATTTTCATCATAGGAATGCATTGCTAATAATTTTCATCATAGGAATCAGATGGAAATGATTTTAATATAGGAATCCATTGCAAATAATTTTACAATAGGAATCCATTGCAAATGATTTTACAATAGGAATGCATTGCTAATAATTTTCATCATAGGAATCAGATGGAAATTATTTTACTGTAGGAATCCATTGCAAAACATTTTACTAGAGGAATCCATTGCAATTAATAGTACAATAGGAATTCATTGCAATTGATAGTACAATATGAATTCATTGTAAATGATTTTAATAGAGGAATCAATTTCAAAATATCTTACTAGAGGTATCAATTGGAAATTATTTTATTATCGCAAGCTATTGTAAAACATTTTATTAGATGAATTAATTGGAAATTATTTTACTATAGAAATCCATTGCAAATAATTTTATAATAGGAATACAATGCAAATGATTGCACAATAGGAATCCATTGCAAAACATCTTACTACAGGAATCAATTGGAAATGATTTTAATATAGGATTTTTTTAATCGTTTCGTATTACTAAATAGTTCCACTAAAACCGAAAGGGTTATTGAGGATGAATGAAAAGTCTTCAGTGAAGAGACAGGACAATAAAAAAAAAAAAAACAGGATTCAGGTAGACAGAAGATGGTAGTTGATGTTACGCATAACTTTTTGAAGATCTCGTGTGACAGGGACGCAAGAGTTGGAATAGAATCCATTGGTAATGGTTTTACTATCGCAAAATATTTATTTCCTGACAAAATTGTTTTAAGAGAAAGATTTTATACATCAGACTACTACTCACCCACCAGACGTCAACTCACTCGTCTACTCAGCCATATTGTGATCATTGATTTGAGCAAACCTTTCTTCTATTCAAATCGTCTCCCCGTCTCGTTAGGTCACGTTACTAAAATACCTTGGAATTTCTTTTCCTTATTCGTCTCAGCTGTGGTTGATTGAAACTCTTCGAAACTTTCAGGGTTTTGAGCACTTTACTTATCAAAGAATAACGAAGACACGCGATATCATGCGTCTATTTTATCTTATTGTTAAAATTTCAGTATTCGTACTGATGAATGACTTTCTTCTTCTTCTTCTTCTTCTTCTTCTTCTTCTTCTTCTTCTTTCTCTCTGAGGATGTATGTCTCTGTCTTTCTGTTTCACTATCTTTCTCTCTGGCCGAATTTCTCTATCTTCCCTCTCTCTCTTCTCTCTCTTTCTCTCTGTCTCTCTCTCCCTTCTATCGCTCTCTCTCTCTCGCACTTTCTCTCTTTTCTCTCTCTTTCTCTCTCTTCTCTCTCTTTCTCTCTCTCTCTCACTTTCTCTCTCCTCTCTCTCTTCTCTCTCCCTTCTATCTCTCTTCTCTCTCTCTCTTCTCTCTCTATTTCTCTCTCTCTTCTCTCTCTTTCACTTTCTCTCTTCTCTCTTCTCTCTCTGTCTCTCTCTTCTTTCTCTCTCTGTCTCTCTCTTCTCTCTCTTTTCTCTTTCTCTCTGTCTCTCTCTCCCTTCTATCGCTCTTCTCTCTCTCTCGCACTTTCTCTCTCTTTTCTCTCTCTTTCTCTCTCTTCTCTCTCCCTTCTCTCTCTCACTTTCTCTCTTCTCTCTCCCTTCTCTCTCTGTCTCTCTCTCCTCTTTCTCTTCTCTCTCCCTTCTATCTCTCTTCTCTCTCTCTCTTCTCTCTCTTTTCTCTCTCTCTCTTCTCTCTCCCTTCTATCTCTCTTCTCTCTCCTTTCTATCTCTCTCTTCTCTCTCTCTATTTCTCTCTCTCTTCTCTCTCTTTCACTTTCTCTCTTCTCTCTCTCCTCTCTCTCTGTCTCTCCGGCCTACTGGTTGTTACATCTCAACCTCGATATCGACAGCTGTCTCTTTCCTATTATCGGCGGTTGACCGTCTCTCACTGCCAGCCTCCGGCTCCCTGGCCGGCTGTCCGCTCGACCCTCTCATTACAGATCACCGCGTCTCTCACTCTCTCTCTCTTTCTCTGCCTCATTCTCTCTATGTTTTAGTGTCTCTCTACATCTCAACCCTCTATGACTGTCTCATTATACTTATTAAGTTTCTCAAATGCACAAACCGGTAGACCTAATTCACAATGTTATAAAAATAACAGGGCGTCTATTTAAACATAGGTATACACAAAATAGTACAGCTGGCCACTTTTATTCCCTATTGCAGACGTTTGCTCAGGCGCATTTGTATTTATTCAACACCGTCAAAGCCCACCTGTGATTTATACTGCAACTATGCTGAGCAGACCTTTGTTACAGTTTCTGGGAAAAAGCGTGTCATCTAGCGTGATCAACAATTTGAACAAAGCCAGTACAGCCACAATGACTTGTGACCGTGCTAGCACAGCTATCGACGCCCCCCCCCTCTTCAAGGTTTCCGTCTATTCAATTTCATTCACAAGGTTTGGGTCAAAGGTGCCGCACGCTGGGATTGACACCTCCAGTCCGATAACATCAGGAAGTCTCCTTTCTGACAAATCGACCATGGTGAGATTCGAACTCGGGTCTCATGGTCAGAATGCGAACGTTCTAACCACTCGGCCACGTCCTATACACAAAAAAGCACTGACATCTATTACCACTTTTCTCTGGTATTCTCTAATGGTGTACGGTTAGTAATTTTTAAGTTTAGTTCAAAGATTACACTTTCTTTATGATTGCTGGATTGACTGTTATTAATGCCGAAACATATTGTGGGTTATAAGAATTATTTTGCGAGCGAATATTTCATTAACATTTTTTTGAGAATATCAATTCCTTTCCAGATTACTAGTCCTACTCTTTAACCCATAACTAGGGAAAAAGATGTGTTCATACCATATCCCAAGGTTATTTGCGCAGAAATGAATGTAATGAACTTGGCTGGAATTTGGAGTCACTATACATTGCAATTAATGGTTTCTGTCAGAATGTACATATATAGAACTATTTCATTTTTACTTACATTATTTACATTATTCCGACTGTTATCCTCATCTTCATTGCCATATTCACAACGTTTCGGCCGTTGTATGCTCCGGCCTTTTTCAGGTGATTGGAATTTCGAACCAAACCCTTTATTTCATCCACAGGGATAGATTTTTCTAGTTCCACGTGCCATGCCTCTTCCGGATGTCTCAGTTATTTCCCTTTAACTCAACTCTCCAAGTTTTGGTTCACTACCTCTGTAGCCTGGTATTGAACTCACAACTCTTTAGGTATAATCACTGGATCTAACCAACGCCTTTATCCACTGAAGAAGGTCGAAGCATACAACGGCCGAAACTTTGTGAATATGGCAGTGAAGATGGGACCGAATAATATAAATAAGGTAAGTAATCATAATACCTCATCGCAGAGATATAGAGAGATTTTTTTTTATCTATGCCATCTATATCTATATATCTATAATGACATCGTAGAATAGGGGTTAGTTTTCATTTGGTTAGCTTTTCGTGTTAAAAAAATAGAAAAAGATTGTTGAGTAGAAAGACTGTTTTATATTCTCTATACTATTATTGAAAAATTGACTCCTCCATTCGCTATGAGTAGAAGGTTTGCTCATGGAACAGTGGTAAAAATTGGGTACTGAACTACTGTATTCTCAATCCATGTTCTCACGTGATAAACCCTTCTTCACTCAACCTTTTGTTTCCAAACCAGCAACTACGATCGTTATACGAACTTAATAACATAAATATATTACGGAGTTTGATCTGGAGCCCCTTCTGTTTGTTTCAAGGTCCTTGACAAAATCCAGAGACGGATATGCAATGTAATTGGCCCTGATCTGGCATCTCGTCTGTACTTGCTCTCTTACAGACGTCCTGTCGCCTCTCTCTGTCTTTTTTACAAATATTTTCACGGTAACTGCTCCGATGAGCTGCTTTCCCAGACTTCATGAATTTAAGCGCTCAACTAGGCTGGCATCTCGCTCTCACCCTTTCACTGTCGAAAGAGTTAAATGTAGCCGTCTCTTCTACTCCAATAGCTTCATGTCTCGCACTTCTCGCCTGTGGAACTCCCTCCCCTTTTCTTGTTTCCCTGATAGCTATAATCTCCAACTATTGAAATGTAATGTCAATCGACGTCTCCAGATGCCTTGATCTATCCCCTACCCTTCTCTTCATCCTTTCCTCTATCAATCCTATTTGTTCTCGCTAACAACTCTGTAACCCCTTGCGTGCTAGTGGCTTCCCGCCTTGCTTGGGTTGAAATACTTAAAAAAAAATTTTTTAGTAGTTTAAATTTTTACTTGTGAAATCTACAAGCTTTCTTAATAATGTTCAAATTGAGTTTTAAGATTGTATTTCCTTTATGAGTGCTGAAAAAAAAATGTATGTTGCACAAAACTAGTTGTCTTCTCCAGCTGATCCGATTTTTTAAATTACATATTATGTGTTTATTGGTACAGATTTTGTGTTCATTACTACAAATTTTGTGTTCATTATATGTTGCAATGTTTCTAGGTTTATTTACATGAGCCGAGTTTACTTCCGACGGAATACGAAGCCACCTTCGTTGCTGCCCCAGGTTATTCAACTTACGCTATTATCAACCCTGAAAAGGTAACAAAACATGTTATTCAAATGAACCGTGTATTTGGTTGGAAATGTGGGTAATTTTGCATATTTTCAACATGTGGGTAATTTTACATATTTTTGGCATGTTGGCTATTTTGCGTATTATTGACATGTGGATAATTTTGCATATTTTTTTTACATATTGGTAATTATGTGTATTATTGACATGTGGATAATTTTGCATATTTTTTTACATATTGATAATTATCTGTATGTTGTAAAGTAGTTTCACAGAGGAGGCTTGTATTTCACTAAGTCAGTCCTAAAAAGGTTCGACGTACAAAACGTTAGGAACTTGTTATAATAGTTAATGACGCAGCAATCTAGTTGTGGTGGTTGATACTTTAATGTCCGACATCGACTGACTCACCAACTCACTGAGCGACTTCGCGACTGCTACTACTACTACTTATTATATGTGGGAGATTCTATTAACAATAGAATAGGTATGTTCCAGTATAACAGTGTATTATTGACGTGGATATTTTTGCAATACTTGCAGTTAAAAAAACAAAAAATACGGTAAAATAACCATTAATTTTTAAGTACTAATGTTTTTTTCTTGGTACATTACATTGTCGCAAGATATTTTCCCTGACACGGAAGCATATAGCCAGGAGTAAAGCATTAGTTAACTTAGACATTTAGACACCATAACAAAAACAACACGCAGACGTACATTCAGTAAAATAAAACCAACAAATCAAAATAAAGGATTCGACGTTGACTAATTAAACAAAAGATCGAGAATCTAAAATAGTTTTCAAGTTGAGTCTATCTCTACAAATGTAAGCGGAGGAGAATTAACATTTAGACAATTAACCGTAAAGTGACAGAGGAGAAGCAACCATGTCGACGTACCAGGAAAGACACATCCGCACGACGTACCGGCACCGTAAAATTCCACTCACTATTCCCAGACGAGAAATTTGACACGGGCGCTAACGCCCCGGTGATAGATAATTAGATTTATTTGTAAATACGAGCTTCGCATACTAAAACCATATACGCTCCCAAAAAGCTTACACGTGTGATCGATGTTCCCACAATGAACTAATTGCTCTGAAAGAGACTTTTTTCCCACACCGCCAGTGTTCCGCCCAATAAATCTTTGTTTTTGTTTGTTCTATAAATCCATGTTTGTATTTATTCATGCTTCTGTATTTAGAGGCGGTGCTATCTTTGGGCCGACAAAGCTGATGGTAACAATCACACCTTACAGCATAAGATCAGAGTGGGTCATTTTTTTTATCGATTTTACGCTTTATGAATGAGTTAAGACCAAACCCATATCAGACACAACCTGCTATAAGAATTCAAAAAGATCTAGTGGCGGCATCCTACCGGTTCACGCGAACCGATTCTTAATATTATGAATGCTTAGCGAACCGGTTGTTGGATTACCCGGAAATAATCTTATATATTAATAGCCGATAATAGCTAAAAAGTTAATTATCACTATTGCTTTAAGTTCTACGGAGGCTAAAACAGAGTTTACTCTGATGAACATAATTTATTCTGACAAAAGAAATCGTTTTGAAGTTAAAAATGTAGGAAATTTTCTAGTCATAGATGTGATAGTTCTTCCATTGGATCTTTGGGTGATTCAGTGATTCAGTTGGAATATGGCTAAGAAACCATAACACAACTGATGAAAACTAGTGTCGAAAAGCATCATAATTCTGAAAAGAAATATGATGTGAACAGAATTTCAATCTTGAAATATCTTAATAAATAAATGTTTTCTATTAAATTATGAAAATGGTTTAATTCTTTTTGATACTATAAAGTGATTTGTTTCCATTCTCAGATTGAAAAGAAAATAAGCAGAATAGGTTCCTAAAAATTACCTGCCTTTATAAAACCGGTTCTTGGAAATTTGGGATTCCATTATTACAGCACAGTCCCCTTGTGGTAGCAGAGAGAAGAAGGCTTAAAAGAAAGCATTTAGCAGAGAAGTGTAACTGTGGGTTTAAAAAAAAATGTACAAACAGATTTGTTAGCGGCAGGTGAGTGTAAACATACAACATGACCTCATCCAAGTTTTCCACTGACCCAATGATTAATTTAATGATTGAATTATCAAAATGGCTTAATTCTTTTTGATACTATAAAATGATTTATTTACATTCTCAGATGGAAAAGAAAATAACCAGAATAGGTTCCTAAAGATTACCCGCCTTTATAGAACTAGTTCCTGGAAATGTTGATGTCATTATTGGAAAGATCCATTGAGCAACGGAAACAGAAATAAATATTCGTTTTTGTTTTTGAAGCTGAAGTTTTAAGAGTCCGAACATGCCAATCGATGGCTTGGCCAGTTTCGAAGGGGATTTTTTTCTCTCGAAGATTTCCCTCAATCTGGGCGTCAAAATCTTGTGAATATTAATCTTCTGCGAACCGTAGTTGAGGAAAATCCGTAACAAGCTGCATAAG